GTAGAGCAGATGCTGGAATTCAGAATTCTGCACCAGCTGAAAGCAGATCTAGGTCCCCAGCAGGTAAAATGCTGGACTTGCCAGCACTGTTTTCTTTTTCGGGCTTCTGCTGTTCCTGCCAGTAGCTGCAGTAGTGCTGAAAAGTTATTTTAAAAGGTCAGACATAAAGATAGTTGGATATGGATTTACAATCCTGAACACATGCGGTATCTGAGAAGATGATCTGATCTCATATTCTGGTTCAGTCCTTTTATAGTTAATCTCCCCATTTTCCAACTGTGTAGGAATTGTACATTTTGGCTAATCCTCATATGCCTCTGGTGGTTGGAGTTTTTTCCATTGACAGCAGTTCATCAGTACAGCTAAACAAAATCACTGTAAGCTGTCAAACAGAAGACAAATGAGAGCTTAGAAAATAGAATACTCGCTGAACTGAGACAACACTTCAGCGCCGACAATGATGATGGCAGGGGAGCAGAGACTATCTAGTTATAATTGCCAATTTAGCAACAGCTGAGCCTGTACTTATCTGAATGAGTACTTTGCTAAATTCATGATGGTTTTGTCCTGTGCTAAGCCTTGACGTTAGCAGACACAATGCAAATGCAGTGTTCCAGGGATAACTCCTCTCTCAAAAGCAGCAGGATGTTAGTCTGAGGACTAAGTCCTAAGGGAATGTCTCTTTTTTCCCTTATATGGCCACCTGCAGTTGAGCTGAGATTTTTTTGAATCAGCTTGCAAGCCTCAAGGTGATGAGCATGCACTATTTTCTTCAGTAGATGTTTGTTCTAGCCTTCACCTTTCTCTGTAAGCCCAAAATATGAATTCATTTTGGTTTAAACTTGCATTTCAGGTTTGTGAAGTCTTGTCTCGATAACAGCTATCTTCAGATTGTACCTCATAAATTCAGCATTCTGTTTCGTCATGAAGGGGATGCCACCAAACACTTGTGGCTTATTCTACCAAGGGTAGGTGATTTGTGGGAGGTAATTGCTGTTTAGCCTCTTGGTACGCTCTCTCACCAAAAGATGCTTCAAATTAATGAAATGTTAAAAGGATATATAAAAATATGCAAAGCCCATTTCTCAGAAATAAATTTTGCTCCAGTGCAGAGAATGGAGTGGCAAAACATCTGCCTGCCCTTTTAAATGAAGAATGGCATCTCAGGGAAATTAATATGGCAGCAATCATTCTCATAATTAAAAATAGTCATCAGCTGTAATATTAGGTGCATTGATGATGTGAGTATACAACATGGCATACCTAAATCAGAAAGAGACTACAAAATCCTGAAATTAAAATTTGACTGTTTAAGAATAGAGACAGCAAGAAACCAGATTCATAAACAAATCTTTCCACCTTTCCTGTACAAGCATCTATATCCTGCTGTCCATTTTGGGACAGGAACCTTCTAACAGTCTTCTAACCCCATTACATACAGGAGAAAATGTGCCCTTTCTCCAAGCTGGCAGTTATTTTAGTCCCATAAATAGCTTGCTGTAAATTATGCCACAGAACAATAAAATTGCAGGGATGACACAAAAATTAGCTATATGATACAGAAAAACAGAGAAATTTGTCCTCAGCTGAAATTTGAAATGTTGCAAACCTGTGTACCACATCCTAAGAGGCTTTGACAGGCCTCTCACCAGCACAGCAGTAATTTCCTTTCCTACCATGCGTTCTCTAAGTCATGGCTGCAGGCCTTTCTTGTTTCAGTATGGGAAGCACGTTTGGATTGCAGTGTGGATATGATCATATGAAAGGGTCAGTGTGGTCTGAACAATGCCTGTGGTCTGAAGCATTAATATTTGATGCAGCTTTGACCAAATTTGCTGCACTGGAGCTCACATGGTGGGTGGGAGGGGCAGGGGCTTGCAGCACAGTCTGTCTGTCAAAGGCCTGACTCAGGCAGCTGCCTAGTCCAGCTTCAAAAGCAGCTGTTTGTGTACAGATTTCACTCTCATATTGCAAAGTCATAGAAATCTGTGCCATAATCATGTCCAGGATTGCAAATAGGGCTGAACATTCATGGCTAATGCTGTTACTTATGTAACTGCTGCTTAAAAATTTTAGGAGACTTCAGATTTACACGATTGAATTTAAAAGTGAATGAAGAAAGATGCTGGAACAACAGATTCATGTACTCTTTTCATACTGTGTGTAACATCATATTAGACTTCCCATAAATCTGCATGGGCAGGGCATGGTTTAAGCTGAGCCAGGTGCTAGTGGTTTGTACTGTCCTTCCTAGCAGGAGTTGTTTGAGTTGCCCATTCCCAGCTCCTGACTGAGGCCCAGTAATGTGAGGTGGGTGGCTGGAAAGGAGGATGCAGAGACACACCTGATCCTCCTGATACAGCCATGAGACTGATGCAGTCACTCATGAAACCACCCTGCAGACTCACCCCTTCTCACTTTTTCCCTTGCTGCCAGATGTAGATTATTTATTACCGCTCTGTGAGTGTGAATCTGACCTGTTTGCCATGACAGGCTGTAGCACAGAAGGTCAGAACAAAGCTGAGCAAGGAACCTTGAGTTTTCTGAGTCTTGCTCTTTAAGATGCAAGTAACATCACTTCAGACTTGCATCTGGGTAGTCAGCAGGGATAAGTGCAGGTCTAGGGCCATTCAAGCTGACAAATCTCTGACTCATCTCTCATCTCTACTGGGGTGATACACTTTGCCTATTACTGAGGCCTTTGAAATAAAAAACGGATAAAGGAAAGACAAAAGGGAATTTAACAAAATGTCATAATTAATTCAACAACATTTTAAATCACCAACTGCAGTGTTATTCAATTTTGGGAAATTAAATAAGTAATTTTTTTTCAAATCTCAAAGAGCTGAAAGCTCAGAAGTTTAGATCAATCTTCAGAGAGGTATATTTCTAATGGACAGGATTTCTGTCAAGCCAAGAACATTCATTATCTCTGCAATGTTCTTTTCAAGCTTACAGCTCTGGAGAGTGCAATTTATTCATCTGTCAGATTTTATGCACTTCTTGCCAGGGTATCTTTTATATATTATTCCTCCAAACCAGAAAAAATATTTTTAGAAAGGGAGAGCAAGCAGAATAAAGCCTTTAAATACAAATCAGCTGATTCAGAGTCCCTTCTCCATTTTCTATCTCCTTCAACCACATTGCCGTGTATTTACCCTTAAGTTAAACCAGTCAGATGAGTTTTTGCTCTCTGTGACAGAATTACAGAAAACAGGATAAGCAGTTTATCCTTTCAGTGTGCAAACAAGGCATCTCTTCCAAGCAGATGTATTAGCACCACAGCAGGTGCAGCCCGGGGATGCTCACACCCAGCAGAAAAGTCTGACCTGGGGGAAAAGGAAGGTCCTGCTGCCTGGCAAAGCACAGATGAAGGGGCCTGTGGCTCTGTAATTCTGTTCTTCACTCACTGTGCAGTGTGCAGTTAATGAGATTTTGCTGCCAGTTTCTCTTCTTGGCTCTCCCAAGGCTGGTTCTGCTGCTCTTCCCTCAGCACCCATGTCCTACACGTGGATTCCCACAGCTCCCCCTCGGTAGGTCTGGAGCCAGCAGGAGCCGTTCCTACAGACTTTGGGAAGGCAGATGTGCAGGATCTGCTCTCTGCACATCTGCAGTCATACCCTTCATTCCATTCAAGGGTATGTCAGCCTTAAGTTACAGAGCTCTGCAAGATGTTTCCTTGTCCTTCTCCTCTACTTCCACCTGACACAGGAATGCTGCTATCACCACCTGGTTGCCTGGTAATTCCTTTAATAAGACCGTGTTTCCAGTTGCTAAGATTCATACTGAGCTTCAAGCACCATGCTGTGTGGCCCCATGGAAGATTTCTTCTGTCACAGTTTGGACACTTAATGGGAAATGGTAGCAGATCTCTGACAGTCTTACAGTTTGAAGCAGGGAATTGAAAATTAGGTGGGAGGGAGGACTTCAGATTGATTGAAGTGATGTGCTTTATGAATTGTATGAGGAATCTTCCAAACACCCTGAAAATTTGAATGCTGAAGCTACCTAGGTGGCGTTGGATGAAACTGAACTGCAATTTCCCAAGGGTTTGAGGTTTTTTAAGGGCCACATTAAGAGATAGATCTTAGCACCCTATAACCACCTGCAGTGCTGTATGGCTGGACCTGAAAGCAAAAAGGCTGTCCTCCACATCTCTTGGTGACTTCCCTGCTTATCCAAGGCAAAAGATAAAACCTGGCTTCAGCAACACATGTAATGAAGGAAGGACAAAGAGGTTGGGGACCGAGCCATCATTGAGAAAAGAGCATGAAGGGCTGGCGGGCAAAAGTCTGTGACAGAGAGCCCGGGAGCTGCAGGGTGTGGGCTGGGGGTGTTGATCTGATCACACATGGGCTGAAGGAGGCAGGTGACAAATGGCTGAGGAGATGAGGACTGAGTCTGGCCGGAGGAGAAGGACGCGGATCGGGGACGGGGAGGGGGTGGTCTGGGAGAACAGCCAGTGCGAGGCTGGAGCGGGTGCGCGCCTCAGCCTTGGCTGCTCTGCAGCCGGGCCGGGCCGCGCCGGGCGCTTATCGCTCGGGCACACGCGTCCTACGTGACGGGCCCGAGTGTCCCCCGCCAGATAACGCAATGAAAGCTGCCCGCACTGACCGTTCTCTCTCGCTTGAACACCTGGCAATTACACCTCCCAGTCTACGAGCACGTTACCATCAAGGCCCCATTATGCCAAACACGGGACAGACCAGAGCCATTCTGTTTCCCTCAGCCGCCTGTGCGCCGCTCTCCCTCAAACCCGTCCCGCAGGCAAAACTGCGCCTGTTTCCATGCGTGTCCCCGCAGTGGCAGCTGTGCCGAGCAGCGCCCCAGCACAGCCTCCTGGGCAGGTTCAGTTCTGCCCTCAGAGAAGGGGGCAGGCGGGGCAGAGCGGCGGCCGCGCTCGGTGCTGCCTCACGCGGCCCCGGTAACTCAGGGGCACGGCCCCGGTAACCCACGGGCACGGGCCCGGTAACCCACGGGCACGGGCCAGGTAACTCAGGGGCGCGGCCCCGGTAACACACGGGCACGGGCCCGGTAACTCAGGGGCGCGGCCCCGGTAACCCACGGGCACGGGCCCGGTAACCCACGGGCACGGCCCCGGTAACCCACGGGCAGCCCGCACCCCTGAAGGGCAGGGCCGGCTGACACACGGAGCCCGGGGTTCCCCCGCCGGGCCCCTCGGCCTGAGGGGAAGGCAGAGCCGGGGCCGAGGGCCCGGCCTGGAAAACCCTTGGAAAGGCCGGGAGCGAAGGGCACGGGCAGCGCGAGCTGGTGGAGGTAAGGACGTCACACCATCCTGCTCCTTAGAAAACACACAGTGGGACTAGTTCTGCGATTTAAAAGTGATTTATTTTCTCTGATTAAGCATTCAAAGTTCCGTTTGGGTTTTTATCTGTAGAGTCGTACAAACACGATTTTTGTCTGCGCAATGAAGGAAATAATTTTCATGCATATGGTGGGATGCACAACTCTTCACATTGTTACAGGGAAGAACAGCAAACCTTGTATCGTATAGCACCAAGAAGAATTTTAATTACAGTGTGAAAGAAAGGTACCACAAAAGCTTCTTGTTTCATGGTATATCATTTAGGCTGACATTTTTACTGTAAAGTATATGCTGTATTCCAAGCAACGAAAATTAAGCTTCTCATTAAAAAAATTAAAATATACCTGTTTAAAAACTTTACACTTTCTAAAAATTAAGATATTAAATTTTTATATTCTTGCATAGCATATTTTGAACTTCGAAACAGATAAGAAAATCTAACAAAAGAAAAAACCCAACCCCAAAAAATTAATTCTTCCTTTCCTAGTCTTCCCGTTACCCTAGCCTGGTCAAACAGCAGGAACTAATTATTGAATATGTACAACTACATCATGGAACTTGCACATTCCTCTGAAAATTTAAGCCTGCACTCCTGCTCCTTTATTTATTACTATAAAAATGGCACTAAAGAGCTCAAAATTTACTGTCCAATAAGTCACTTCTACTTGACTTTCAAAAATATTTTTGGGAAGTGCCAGCTCTAAAGACTCAACAAGTGACCCAAAAATTCATACTTCAGGTCTTTCATCACTCTCTTGCATCACCATAAATGTAACACCCAGTTCTGTTAATTTCAAAGATGAAGAACTAGATGTGACAAGCAATTTCAAATACTTATGCACGTCTGTTACCTGCAGGCACAGGTAACTGGTTGGAAACAGCACTACTTAAAGCACTATAAACACTGCAAAAGAGGAGATATATTAAACTTCCTTTTTGACAGGAAAAAGATAGTAACATGTGACATTAAACTGAACCAAAGGAAAGACCTGTTGAGTCAGGAGATGCGATTTGATGCAGTTGCTGCTCAAGAACAGAACTTCATGCTTGCCCAAAGCATTCAAGATTGCCAGGGGCCAGTAAAAGCAGGATTGCTCTCCTCTCCTGATAGCTTTGGCCATTCTCACTTTCAGGACCAGGAAGAAACATGACAAACAGTGCTGAGCTGCTGTGGCTCTGTGGGTACTGCAGTGCTCTCCACTCTCATTACAGCTCCCCAAACTGGGCACTCTCTCCTGCCATGCCAGAGCACCAGGACATTGCTGGTATGGCTGCTGGGGGCACCTCAGCATGTTCAGTGTACCAGAAATTACCACCAGCCTGAGGAGAACAACTGATTGACCGTGCTATCCCTTATAGTCTCATCTGTTATACACATAAATTGACACTTGGCTTTGATTTTGAGCTGCAGCCCATCTTCTGAACAATTGCTTCTGTTGAGCTGCTGGTCAACCAGATCTACTAAATCTTTCCCCATCTTTCCCCATCTTTTCCCCCAAAATCTTTTGAGAAGGTATATTATTTACTTCAGCTTAAGAAAAGGTGCCAGATTCATTACACTACAAATGCATACTTCACAAAAGTAGACAGACAATATTGTTTTGCTTGTGTGGTGTATGGTGGCTCCAGGGGACAGCAAGGCAGCTCCTCTGGCATCTTTGTAACACATCTCTGTCACAGATCTCTGTGACACCGTGGCCAAATTAAAGCTCAGTCCAACAATCTATGAAACTGTGGGACTGATTATTTCTATCCGAGAGAGAGGATGTATCTATCTACATAGATACTTCTGTAATGTTTCTATCCTGTAAGTGGATCTCTGACCAAAACAAAAACATGAATGTTACAAGACTTCCAGGACTATTAGCTATTCAAAAAGTATTTAAGATTATTTTAAATGACTAGCCAAGAGTTTATGCCAAAACCACTGTTAGGATATACATATTCTGTAATCTAGGGCTACCAATACACTACAAGGCAACATTTACTCCAGCTGTCAGGCCAGCTAAAGGATTTCACTATCAATTATTTCAACTCCCTTTTTTTTTGTGTGTGTCTGCTGGGTAGAGCTAATAAAGTCAATGAGAAATTCTGATAATTTTATTCTGTTGCTTTCAAAAAACTTAAGACTGTTTAGACACTACAAGCTGTCCTGAAATTAAGGTCTCGTCTTCAGTCTAAATTACTCAGTTCAACATAGAAAAAAAGCCTAACACATATTATTAGCTGTACAGCGCCACAGTTGTGCATTGGTAGTCACACAGTAACATGACCCCTTTTCCCAGGAATTTATAATTTTTACACAATGACATGACAGACAGACATGGTTATCAGACAAGAAGTGCAAAATGGCATGCAACTCATATGCATTATCTTCCATTTCAACATCATTTTTATGAAGTGGCTCACAGTGTAGGCCAGCACCCCAGCTCACACTTACACTTTGTATACACTGAGCTTAATACAATCTTTTGCATTTTCACATTCATAGCATCTTTAAATTAACAATTACTGACATTTAAACTCAAGTGGACAATCCAAGCTACAAGCATTCTTTACATATGCATTCTTCAAATTACAGAGACCCTACAAGCTATTCCACTCTTAAATATTCTACTCTTCCTATTTCCAGGAAAAGGCTGCATAAGGTACATTTTTCTGAGCTTATTCACAGCAATAGAATCATGTTGTGCATACATCAGCAGGTGTCTCCTGCTGCAGTTGAGTAGCACCTGCTTCCAAATTATTTCTGCAATCATTTTACTTGCTTAAATCTCCCACTTTGCTGAGCTCCAGCAGCAGCCCAGGGCGGCTCTCCAGGCTCGGACATACTGTGGGTGCCATCTTTATTTCACTTCATGGGTAAAGTTTCCCAGGATTAGAAGACAAACTCTAATCACAGAAAAATATCCTAGGGCACACACATGGTGCCTGCACACGGTGTGTGCCAGTGCTAAAGGGACACCAGTGACACTTTGGGCTGGTGTGACAATGGCAGTGGCTGCTCACCTCACCTTGGCCAGGGAGATGTCACACAAGGTGAGGTGAGCAGCAGCCATTTCTGCCTTTGAAGGTGGCACACAGAGTAGCAGAACTAAACAATCAGCTTGTGGAGATGACAGATCCAGTTATACATACAGATTCCTGTGTTCCTAAAATATATTTAATGCTGCAGACTTGTCACTATTACTTTCTTTTCCTACAATCTTATCTGGAAATAATCTGTGAACAGAATTATTTGCATAGATTTTTTTCAGACTCTTGAAACTCCCACCCTGAACTGGTATGTGCCAGTGAATGACAGGGGTATCTCGCAGTCAAAACAAATAACTGCACTTGGACTAATGGGTTTTAAGAAATTGGTTGTTAAAAACACTTCTCTGCCTCAGAATTGTTAGCAGCTGAAAGTTACTGTAATGCCAGTGGGATAAAGTGAGGAGATGTTGAACTTTTTGACAGCTGACTCCAGAGCACTGATGGGCACTAAGCTGGTGAACTTCCCTGGCTTTCACATACAAGTACAAATAATCATTTGGGTTGAAATCTGTCCTGCTACACTTCATTCCAAAGCCAGTTGGAAAGTTTAAAAAAGACTAAGTGAACCAGTTTTGAGAACTATTACTGTGAAATGTTTATGTATTTCTTGTGTTTTAAACTAGTTCCAACATTGCCTTGTCATGTGCACCACTTCTAGTACTATTTGGGAAATTTCTAAGATCTCTGTACACTAAAAGGCATCACATGTAAAATTTACATCTTCAAAGGGCTGCCTCAGTTTTCACTGACATTTGCACACCCAGATTTTCTACATTCAATACCCCACAATACCACTTTTGCACATGCTCTGAGATGACTCAGCCTTAACCATGTAAAATGCACTAGTACTGGTCTCCTACATCTGCCTGGAATTCACAAACAGCTCTTCTTCCTTCTCTGCCAGCACAGGAATCCATCCTTTACAACAGCCTTCATATTAAACATATGCTCTTCTATACACAACACAGTGGGTAGCTGAAGTTACCAAAACATCAGCCTCATTTCCATTTTCTATTAGATTCTTCCCTAGCCTGCTCTTCCCACTTTCCAGGTTACTAACACAGGCTGAGGACCTCCTCACTGCCCTCTGTGAAACCTGTGCTGATTCTGTAAGTGCTCCCCACCAGGGCAGATGTGTGTTTGAGGCCACACGTACCACAGGACACCCAGTTCTGGGTACAGGTCGGGGGGAGGGCTGGAAAGGGTCCTGAGTTCCAGCTGCTGCTCCAGTGAAATTTTATATGTCTCTGGTAGTCACTGGACAAGTGCCATAATTCCTTGCTTCCCTTTTTGAAAAAGAACCTGAGCAGACAGTGAAAATCTGTAATAGAAATCCAGTGCAGAAGGAAGCACACCTAACATCCAGTAAAGTGGTGGCAAATCCTCAGAATGATGCAGGATTTAAACTTAGATGCCTCTCTCTGGAGTTTCTCAAAGGCTAAGCCTGGTCACTTCCTTGCACTTGGAGCAATCCCATCCACTGTATCTTGCCCCAACCATTGCACAGTCAAGGAATTTAACCACGAATTTTGCACTGCACCACTAAAGACAGAATCTTAAAAATTAACAGTGGCAAATGCTCATAATGTCTACATCCTTTAATGGTGCACTTGGGCTTAGAAATGTTCATTTAGAAAGCCATAAATATTTTTCTTAAATTCTGTTTAGATGGCAGTTCAAATAAGTTGATTTAATTGTAACAATCTCCCTGGGCCTTAGGCCTTATACACTTTGCTCCTTTGAACTGCAATTCAAATTTCACCCACTATTACCATTATAGTCCACCCACAACACATACTGTAACTTATATTCTTTGAATGGTAAATACAAGTGTTTCAAATAAAAGGCTTTCAGCAGAATCTATATAGGCTGGGCTTCTTTTAAAATTCCAAGGTACAAAAGGGGCCTGACTTTC